CTTCCATAGGGCCCTGTTAAATTCAAGTTCAGGTGCTGTGGGTGAGAGGGCATGTCTGCTTATGCTGCGGGCTACAGTTGCCACAGGAGGGGTGTGGGTTGGCTTCCCCTGGGAAGGGCTTCCCTGTCCTCCAGATGACGGCAGGTGGAGGCTGCTGGATTCACCCCTTCCCTCTGGAGTCACAGAGTTGCTGGGCCTCACTCTCCCTGCCTGGTTCTGTTTCTTGATACAGATGTTTGGCTGTGGCTCCGTGGCCCAGGTGGTGCTCAGCCGGGGCACCCACGGTGGTTTCCTCACCATCAACCTAGCCTTCGGCTTCGCTGTCACCCTGGGCGTCCTTGTGGCTGGCCAGGTCTCTGGTAAGGCCTTGCTCTGCCCTCAGTCGTTACCCTCAAATGGCATTCCCACAAGGCGCCCAACTGGGGAATGGGGTGGCAAGGGACATTCCCAAGGGCAAGGCATGGCCGTGGCCTCAGCTTCTCTGAGCTTTGGAAGAGAAGAATGGAGAAAGAACTTGATACTTTGAACCTTTGACTGTCACCTTGGAATCCGATTATCAGAGTTGGCCTGTTACATAGTCCAACCCACCATCTGGTACAAGAAAACCCTTCTCTGCACCCGTGCTTACGAGGGCCAGAGAGGGGGAATATGAGGTTAGGGATCCTGGCCTTCCCACTGCAGCAAGCTACGGTGACTAAGAGGTCCCATCCCCCCTCTGCCCAGGGGCCCACCTGAACCCTGCTGTGACCTTTGCCATGTGTTTCTTGGCACGCGAGCCCTGGATCAAGCTGCCCATCTACACCTTGGCTCAGACGCTGGGAGCCTTCTTGGGTGCTGGGATTGTTTTTGGGCTGTATTATGGTGAGCATTCCCCACCCTGCCATCCTCCACTACCTCCCTCCCTCTGCTTGGGACCTGTTGGCACCAGGCCTTTTGATGACAGACAACTGGGGCCTGCCCAAGCCCCGGGCTCATGACTCACTCATTCACTCACAGGCCCAAGGTGGGGGGCACAAGGGGAAAGAAACAAGTTGGGCAACAATAGAGTCTCAGGCTATCCACCCCCCACCCCCCCACCCCCCACCCCTGCCCGTCCACAGACTCCTGAGTAGTACAGCAGTGACGTACTCACCTGTGATCCCCCAGGAGGGTGGGCCCAGCCTGAGACTGGAGAGCGGGTCGGCTTCTGCCCTCACCCACTCTGGGTCTGATCTGTCACCAGATGCAATCTGGGACTTTGCCAAGAATGAGCTCATAGTCTCGGGCCCCAACGGCACAGCAGGCATCTTTGCCACCTACCCCTCTGGACACTTGGACATGGTCAATGGATTCTTCGACCAGGTACGGGCCAGGGAACCACGAGGGGAACACAGGGAGGAGGACCAAGCTGCTCAGCTGCTTGTGCGTGGCTGGCGGACAGGACTCCTGGTCTGTAGCAGGGTTTCTCAATGTGTGGGGACACCTGCATCAGAATCATGGTGGCGGGCATCGGCATATTTAGCCAGGTCCCCAGGGGATCCTTTTTGCATGCTCACAGTCTAGCACCACTGCTGGAAAGAGCTGAACTCGGGAAAGGGTCAGACTGTAGGAGCCCGGGGACAGAGGAGGGACCAGAGGCCGGGATCGCAGCAGCTCCTCACCCTGTCCTCCCCACTCCCCAGTTCATTGGCACTGCCTCCCTCATCGTGTGTGTGCTGGCCATCGTTGACCCCTACAACAACCCCGTGCCCCGCGGCCTGGAGGCCTTCACCGTGGGCCTGGTGGTCCTGGTTATCGGCACCTCCATGGGTTTCAACTCTGGCTATGCTGTCAATCCCGCCCGGGACTTCGGTCCCCGCCTTTTCACCGCCATTGCTGGCTGGGGCTCTGCAGTCTTCACGTGAGTGCAGCGCCGCCCCCCCCCCCCCCCCCGGCCTGCCCTAGCCTGATACCCCTCTGCTGCCCACCCGCCCCCGACCGCCTCTCTGTCTGTCCCCAGGACCGGCCGCCACTGGTGGTGGGTGCCCATCGTGTCTCCCCTCCTGGGCTCCATTGCGGGTGTCTTCGTGTACCAGCTCATGATCGGCTGCCACCTGGAGCAGCCTCCACCCTCCACTGAGCAGGAGAATGTGAAGCTGGCCCATGTGAAGCACAAGGAGCAGATCTGAGCGGGCAGGGGCTACCTCCCCGCCCCTCCCTTGAGCATCCCCAGACTGTGCAGGGGCTGCTGCCTAGAAGCCTTCACGGGACCCTCCCAGACTTGAGAAGCTCCTTGTCAACTCCCACTCCAGTGGACAGCCCCCTTGGGGATTCTCCCCAGGACGCTCCCCAAATAGGCCCTTAGGACACTGTCTTTAAGCTGTGGTGGGACAGGGAGTAGGGCCAACATACCCTTTGTCTCCCAAAAGGAAAATGGGCAGTGGGCGTGTGAGTATGTGTGCACGTGTGTGGTTTCCAAGATACTCAGGGCAAGGGACCAAGTGGAAAGGATTCTAGCTGTTGGGGGGAGACCAGAGGAAGGGGAAGGTCCATCTGTGGTGTGTCCCATCTGCGAGTGAGGAAAGTGTGAAGAGTCTGCATGTTTCAGGGGGCTCCATATGGAGAAGGGTCCAGATATATGTGTTTCTGAGTATGTGTGTGTATGTGCCCTTTTTTCTAAGTAGGGAGCTTCTCTAGGCTTTGGGGGAGGAAGGGTGGGGACAAGGGGGTAGGGCTGGGAGGAGGAGGCCACAGCCCAGGTATGGAGCTCTGGTTGCATATAAGTAAGAACAGAGAACGTAGTTCTGTGATAATGTAGGCATGAGGGGTGGTGGGGTGAAGTCCAGGTCGTAAGTTTCATGCTTGCCTTTTTTTTAAAAATACAGCAGATGTTACAGTTTTAGGGATGGGGGTTGGGAGACTCTGCTTAAAATAGGGTCTTCAGTCCTTTAATCCTCCACTCAAAAAATGTACTCTTTTGCCTTTTATAAAAAAAAATAATAAAATGTGTTCCTAAAACTGCCAGTTTGCTCTGCTTTTGTTCTGGGGCTAGCTGAGGAGCTTCATGGTGTCCAGCCACAAATACCAGCAAGGGTGCCCCGCTGGCGTCTCCCCTGGCCAGGGTACCCTAGGGCTAGTAGTTGGGCGCCGCCGGGGGGCGGGCAGGGCAGGGGTCAGTCCCACAGATGGGTCAGAGGGCCTTTTCACCAAGCCTCTCAGCTTGAACTCAGTGGCCCCACACTTTCCCCCAAGCTTCCATCCTCTTGCACAATGAGCGGCATCTCCTTCCTGACCCCTGCACCTACCCATCATCCCCGGAAGGCGGGCTTGAACCTGGCCTAGAGAAAAACGTTTTCTCGGGCAGAGCTGCCCAAAAGGGAGGACTACTATTCACGAAGCAGGCCAGTCAGACGAGGGACCTGTACAGTCTTTTATAGCTTGCCGCCCTTTAGGGTCTATCACCTCCACCCAGACCTCGGCCACAGCCCCCTTAGCGGCCTCCCCAGCTCCGGGCTTGCCCCAGCCAGACTGTACAGCAATCAAAGGGATCTTTCTGACACCACTGTTGAAAGTGGGCTTCTTTCCATGGCTCTGCCCACTATCCAGACACAACCCCCAATCCTCTTGCATTCGGGGCCCCCAGGACCTGGCCCATGGTCCCTACCTATCCCCTCACAATGGTCCATTGCCGCCAGACTCCTCTGTGCCCTTCCGTGCCTTCCTCCCTTTGAACCTTTGCTAGTCCTCACTCCCTGAAATCCTCCTGGTCTGCTCTACTGTCTCCTAGCAAGTCATCCTTGCTCCAACCCCACCCTCCCACCATTTTCCAGTCAGTCATCTGAACTCAGGGAGCATGGCTACGTTCATCCCCGCCTCCCCCTCAGCTCAGTTTTTCAGTCTAACGCCTCTGCTGCCCGCAGGGCTGAGGTGGGACCACTGACACTGGTGTCCTGACTGTCCCCAGGGAGGCGAGGGGCTCGGCGCACCTGAGCCCAGGAAGCTCTGTCGGGAAATCGTGTGCCCCTTCCCACCTTCTCTTTCCCTACCTCCTTACCAGATCCTCTTCAAGTTTCACTGGGAATAAAAGGAAAGGCGGGCCCCAAGCTTAGCCCTCCTGCAGAGTTAACCCCATGGCAGCCAGAGGATCCCTGGGTCTGGCGGGAGAAATGTGGCTTTTAGAGATTAAGCTGGTGCTCCCCAGCCACGTCATAGATGAGGGGACCTGGCCCAGAGAGGGTGGGTGGCTACTGCAGGGCCACACAGCCAGGACTCCGGTGGAAGTGGTGATGGGAGAAGGCAGCTCCATCTGAGGTCTCCAACCCCTCCTTGTCCCCAGCTCCCAAGAGGTGTGTCTGGAATGTTGGAGAGACCTGAGCCAGAGGGAGTGTCCCCTTCCCAGGCCCTGGGGGGAGGAAGGGCCACCCTTGGGAGGGGAATGTGGTTTCAGAATTTCATTCCAGCCACACCAGTCCTGCCTCTGGGGCCCCTACCCTGCCATCCTGCCCAGCGTGCCCCATGCCTTCTCAAATCCTGCAGCCCATCCCTACCAGTCAGCCCCCCCGGGGGGTGGGAGGCCTTCTGGTGCAGTGGTTCAAGAGTGGTCAAACCTGGATTCCAGGTCCAGCTTGGCTTTTCTCCACCTGTGTGACTTTGGGGTGGTCATTTTTCTTTCCCTGAACCTCAATTTCCTGTGAATTGGGAGATATTAAGAGGAGGAGGTAGTGGAAGATAATTCATGAAAAGGACTTAGCAGAGTGACCATCGGATACTAAATAGTCAATAAAATGTCACCTTATGATTTTTCCTGCAGAATTGGGGAGGAGGGGGTGGAGGTGGCGGAGAGGTGCTGAAGGCTGTTTTTTAAAGGTCATTGAATTCAACATCCTCTTCCGCCTCAGATTCCTTCCACGGATTCTGAATTTCCTGAGAGGGGGGAGGGGGAAAGGGGGTGATGGCTAGCTGTGCCCTGACTTGAGGAGGCTTTCCGACAGGGATCGAAGGGAAACACGAGAGGGTCACGTGCATAAGGGTAGAGGGGCTGGCAGCGCAGGGAATGTGTTAGATGGAGGGTCAGACCGCCAGAGAAAGGGTCAGGCCTGGCCAGGCCCGGGGCAGGGAGTCAGGGCAGGGGCCGGTAGGGACGCGAACCAAGCAGCAGTGAGCTACCCCTCCTGGCGCAGGAGGGAAGCTTCCCACCTCCCCAACTCATGTCCAGGCTCTGCCTCTCATTAGTAGTTCTAGCTGGTAACAAGTTCTAGAAAGAAATGTCTTATCTCCTTTAGAAAAGTATCTTAATCCACTTTCCAGGCTGGGCGTGGAGGGAGAATCGCCCTGTGGGAGGGTAGATAGATCCCACGCCTCGGCTCTGTCCTCCCCGTCGAGTCCTCTCCACAGCTCACTTTGGAGTCACCCATGTTTCTTTAAAGCTCTAACTTGTTTGGCTTGAAATCAGCCTCCCTGAAACCTGAGCTCAGTTCCTGTTTCCTGTTGTGCCTGCCTCTGTGTGTGCATACACGTGCAAGTGTGCATTTCTCGGTGTTTCTGGGTGGGGCTGGCTTTTAGTAGGTCTTACTAAGTCTCTGTGGCACTGTGACTCTGGCCAACCACATCTCTGCCCCTTTCTGTGTTTCTGTCACTGCCTGGCTCTTTGTGTCTGGATCTTTCTCTGTGTGCCATCTGGTGTACCTCAGCCCATCTCTGCGTGTACCTAGGAGTGACTCTCCTGCCAGCCCACTCCCGCTCGTCTTAACCCCGGGCATGCCTCCTCCTTAATTCCTGGTAATGAGCTCCCTCCTCCTTGCAAACTCTTTCCCCTTGATTTTGTTTGTCTGAAAACCTGGGTGGGGCTCCCCCTAGGCTTGGGGAAGCATGGGTGGGGTAGAATTGGGCGGGGTGGGAAGGGGAGAAGAGGGATGACTCCAGCCCAGACAGAGACCCCAGAGGCCAGAGGTGCCCCTGATCTCCCAAGGAAGGGTCTTTGGGGGTGCTAGCCTAGGCAAGGCTCTGCAAAGCCTCACTGGGAGGAGGGAGCCTGTTCTGGGGTGGGTCCCTGAGCTGTGGGCCAGGGAATGCTGGCCGTGCAAAGGGAGGAGAGACTGAGGCACTGGGGCCCTCAGGGAGACTGGAGGGGGCTCACGCAAGAACACCTCTGAGTCCTAAGTGGGCAGCAGCTGGGGGTGGCCTCCTCAGGGACTCAGCGTCTCCCCGCCTGAGGCCTCAGCCTTTCGTGCCAGGTTTATCTGAGGTAAAGGAGAGAGGCAATGGGAACAGGCTCTTTCGGGTCTCTTGGCTCCTTGGCTGTCCCAGAGTGGCGTGAAGGGGAAACTGAGACCCCGAGTCTCACTTGGGATCATAGAGCAATGCAGCATAGCCTGCACTAGAAGCCAGCATCCTGTCCCCAACCTGGCTCCCTGTAGCCCCTTTCCCAGACAGTACTTTCCAACAGCTCAGGGAGCAAGGCTCTGGGTCTAGATCACCAGCCCTTCTGAGCTGTGGGCCTTAGGCATGTGGAGGTCTCCATTCCCCCAGATCCCATCTCTGGCCTGCTCTGTGCCTCAGGAGGCTGATATCTATGGGGTGCACCCTCGGGGCCCTCTTGCCCCTGGCTTACCTTTCGCTTTGGCAAGAAGGAGGCACAGGCAGGAAGCCAGAGGGCAGGGAGGGTGGAGTGGGGGTGTGGGGGAAGGTCAGGGCCTTCATGTCTTTTCCTGGGCTTTCACTGCATCCCAGTACCACCGGTCTCTTCAGCTGCCTGCTCTTCGTCCTCAGGCCTGAGGACTACCCCTTGTTGGTTCCTGTGACCCTGACCCTGCCTCTGTACATCATCCCATTCACAAGCTCATGTCAGTGAAGCCCTCTGAGGACGTATTGGTCCTGCTGGATCCCTGACAGAGTCCACCCCTCTGTTCTTTAGTTTCTTCATCTGTACAATGGGGCCAGTAATGGTACCTCACTGGGTTGCACAAGGTGAGGATTAAGTGAGTTAGTACACGGACACAATAACGCCAGAGGCAGCAGGAAGTACTGCAGAATAGAGAATAATGGTATTACTGCTATTGTTTTGTCACGCGTCCTTGTGAGCTCCCTGTATACTGCGGAGAAGGAAAGTGTGACACCAAGCCAGGCTTAGAGTGAAATGCCTGAATCCCCAAGGCCATCTCTTCCAGCTCTGGGCTGTTTGCCGCTTCTGGGGGCCTTAGTCAGCCAGGGAGTCTAGTCCCAGTCCCTCCAATTCACTTGGACCCAGCTTTTCCTGAGAAGACTGGGGTGAGGGGAGATGGAAGCCAGAGACCCCTTCCCACCCTGGCTCTTCTCCAGAAAACTCAGGCTCCTGAGAAAGGGAAAGGTGGCTTGGGTTGAGAGTGGTTGTAGCAATGAATTAGGGGTTCACAGGGTGGTATATTTGGGATCAGGGGAGAGAATAAATCCCAGGGAGGTTGAATCCCAGGGAGAAGCAAAATCCCAATCTGTGTTTCCTAGCCTTGTCTCACAGCCTTATCGGGAAGTCCTTCCGCAGGTCTCACTGCTGGCTTGCTTCAGCTCCTCAAGAATGAGGCAGACCAGGACAATTAGCATGATCCTGGTGGCCTTTTCTAGTTCTTACTAGCACACTGGGAATTCCAGCAGCTTTTGGAGTAGGGAAAAGATCCTTGCATATGGTCAAAGCACAGGAGGCCCCGGGGGTGAAGGCCGGGAGGCACTGGTCAAGGTTGCTGGTGGAATGAGGTTATGAGCAGGCTGTAAAGTGACTCACCTGATCCCTCTCGGGGTCCCTTCCCTTGACCACCTTGGTCATGCCTTCAGGTCAGAGTGAGGTATGGTGTGGTGCGGAGAAGGGGTAAGGGTTACCTTTCCCATCCCTAGAGCTCTCTGGGGACAAAGCCTTAAACCAGATTTAATCACCTTGACCAGCTTCTCCAATCTCTGGCTCTGGTGTATTCCCACCATCCTCTAGCCTCTGTGTTCTTCTGGAAGCCTGAGACTAGGGATGGGCCTTTGCCAAGCTTCCACACTGCTCTCAGAGCCAAGTAGGCCTGGCTGGGAGAGGCTGGGTGAGGGGAGAGAGAACTCTGGGAGCCCCGATAATCATCTGGACATGGTCCACCTCTTGTCTCCACGGAGACACCCCCCATAGCCAGGGAGGCACCTGGAACGTCCTGCCCACCACCCTCATCCTTTGCCTCTCTGCTCAGGGTCACTGCCAGGGCCTGGCCGGAAATGGGCCGAGGGAGGGGGGGAGGTGGCCTGGCCAAAGCCAGGAGGCAGGCTGCTGGTCAGAGGGAGCTCTTTCCTGGTAGAGGTGGCCTTTAGCTGGAGGATCCTTAGTTCCATGTCAGGGGTGCGAAGGGGAGAGTGACCACCGCCTGTGGATAAAATCTTCCCTTTATTGGGAGTAAGGGTTTGAGTCTGAGCCACTTTGGGCCCTTAGACATGCATGTGTGCCCACATACACGTGAAGGTGCGTCTGCTGTGACCAGGGAACATGGGGTGTGTGTGTTTATGCTCACACAAACACATTTACACCCTCACTCACTCACGGACACCCCCCCCCCACTCACTCCACGCTCAACCCGTCTATATCCATGCATGCACACTCATATCTGATATTGATTCACACTCATCCATGCACTCAGATGCTCAGACACACTTAGAACCACTTATGTGCACTCATGTATGCACATAATCATATGGACACACACATTTATATTCCATGTCCTTACACTTACACACACTCACAGTCATGCATGCTCGCTCACTCTTAAACACACACTTACACAACACTCACACTCAAATAGACTCCTACTCGTGGATGCCCAGAGCCACATATTTGTGGATGAGGGCAGCAAAGGCAAAGGATGCATCTAGCAGGCTGGAAGTGTTGGAGGGGGGGCAGTGCAGAGACAGGGGATGAAGAGATGGGGGTCACAGGATGTGGGGTTGGTCTGGATGTGGAGTTCAGAAGTCTTTAGGTTTTGGGGTCACAACCCAGATTTTCAGAGCCAAGGGTCAGGAGGCAGGAAGTTTAAAGAATGTGACTGAGAGTCCCAGTGTCTGGGCAGGGCACAAAGTAGCTGTTGACAAACACTTGCTGAATAAGAGAACAGCAGGATTGACCCAAACGTCCCATTTCTTTTTTTTTTTTTTCCAAACTCCCCATTTCTAACCAGTAGTGCTGCCTGTCTGTCTCACAGAAGTTTAGAATCCCAGGCAACCAGACTCACAACCCCAGCATCAAGAGTCACATGCTCTACCGACTGAGCCTCCAGGCACCCCTTTGGGCATGGCTTCTAAACCCAGAGACACCTAACTGCAGAGAGAAACCACAGCAGACTTATCTGCCTGCGGATGAACAGAAAGGGACTAAGCTCTGGGCTGTCCCAGAGATTTGAGTCTATCCAGGAAAGAGGGGACCTGTAGGAGTCTCTGGAGGTATGCAGGATCAGGGAGACCAGTAGAAACTCTGCCGAAGGCTCCCAGAACCATCTCATGTGTAATGTACTATCTCTGGGCTTTCTGCCAGAGGTCTTGGGTTTATTTCATTCGTTTGGTTATTATTTCATCAAATAATTGTCGAGGATCTTTTTTGTGCCAGGTTGTGGTAGGTGCCAGGAGTACTATAATGAGCAAGATGCATATAATACCAGGTAGGAAGTGTCTGGATGCAAAAAAAAAAAAAAAAAGTGGAATTCTGACTCAAAGTGGCTTAGGCACCGATGGGAATGCATTGGCTTACATAAACTGAAAAGTCAGAGGAAAACTTGAGGCGAGGCTTAATCTAGCACTCAGGTCCTTTCTCTTTCTTCCATGGTGTCAGCCTCATTGGAAGCCTTCCAGCAGGGAAGAGGGAGCATCGGCATTGGCTTCTCCACGGTGGCACCTTTGTCTTGGCACATCATCCTATTCAGCACCTTAGCCTCTGGCCACATCCCTGGTTCTCTTTCCCTTCTCATCTCCCCTCCTCACTTTCTTCCCCTTGGTATACTCTAAATTTTGCTTTGTTTTGCTCAAGTATTCAACTGAGTAAATGTCTAAAGGGTCACCAGCACAGGTCCTGAGATTTCCTTTAATGGGACCCACTCTCCTCAGGGTTTGAAAAGCAGTTTGCGGCCCCTTCCCCACCCGCACCCCACCCCCATCACAAGGGAATAGCACTCTCTCGATAATGACTGCCATTTCCATGTCTATTCCCCAGAGCAAGCTTCATGGAGACAGGGAGCCATGGGTCTGGTTGTAAAAGCTAGCCCCTGGTATGCTGTAGGGGGCTCAATAAATATTTGTGGGATGAATGCATGGGATTATTCAGACACCTCCGCCCCCCTTGAGGCCTGCCTTCCTTTCTCTCTCTTTCCAGGGAATGGTTATGACCAAGCATTAGAAGACCCAGAAACTTTTAATGGGGTCAGCTGTGGAAGATGCTGGTGGAGCACACACACAAAAGTTGTGTTCTCCAAGGAGAGGAAGGTTAGGAGTTCTCCGTGGACCTCAGATTGGTGTGGATGTGAACCCAGGAGGGAGGAGGCAGAGATGACTCTAAGGTTCCACCCCTGGGTCCCTCGATGGGCCTGGACACAGCTGGGAAGGGCACCCAGCCAGCCCCTCTGGCACTGGCTCTGCCTGCAGATCTTATCTGGGTCAGGCTGCTGCGTGGGACTGAGTCATTGGACCTGCGGCCTAGAAAACAGTTCTGATGTGGAAATGGGCCCAGACGAGCGAGTGGAGTGGGTGTCTCAATAGTTTGTCACCAGCCTAGACATCCTCACGACTCACGCTTCCTGTCATCCCTGGATCACCTTCATGGTCCCCACTCATCTCTGACCTTGTCACTCATTTGTCACTCTCACTGTCATCCCTGCGTCAGAGCCACTGGCCCTTTCTTAACCGTGCTGCCACTTAACCCAGTTCCCATCATGGTGTTACCTTCTTCAGCTTGCCACCGTCCCTGTCCCATCGCCGTCCGTGCTCAAGCCTGTTGCTATCTGAACCAACCCAGTCTTCTTATCACTTGCCTCTACCCCAACCCTGTTACTGGTTAGTTCCACATTCATTTCACCTGTCACCTTGAGGTCACCACCTGTTCCTGTCATCCTGGTCACCTCTGTCACCACACTCCTCACCACCTCTCCCAGTCCGCATCACCTGTAAGTCCTCTGGACTGTCATCGGTTCCCCTTGTCCCCTCTGTTGGTTCACCAGCACGGCCCATCTCTGCCTCCCCCCGGTGCTATCATCAGCTTCCTCCTTCTCTCCACTCCTCTTCTAGGTCCCCAGAAGTGGTGTAGACATCCTCAACGTGTGCGCCTCGGAGCCTTCGCCCGGCCTTTCCAGCCTCCGGCCTCCTCCAGACTTCCCTACCTGGGACTGCCATGCTGCTTCCCTGCGTGCTCTGCCCTGGCACTCGGCTTTCACCCCGGGAGGGGCCGGACCCCGGGGCCTGGCACTTACTCCCAGGGGCCCGGAAGAGTACTGTCAGAGGCTTGCCAGGAGCCCTGACTCTTCTCTCCCCGCCACCCATGACATCTGGCTATGCTTCCACCCAGCCTGGACCTAAAATCTCCATTTATTAAATTGATTATTATTTCCCTTTTTAGAATTCCCCGATGCCCCCGCAGACTATTACCTATCCCCTTATGAAACACTCTCACGGCCCCCCAGGACCTTGACACGTCACACTTATGATCAACTGCTTTTTTGTATAATCATGTGTGTAAGGCCATCTTGCCCACCAGACAGGACACACTGGGAAGGCAGGGACCGGGTCTGTCTAGGCTGCTGCCGGTCCCCAGAGCCTGGCACAGTGCCTGGCTTCTGGTAGGGGCGCAGTGGACATCTACTGAGTGAATAAATACTATTTATTGAGTACTTAACAGTGCCAGACACTGTGGTAAGTGCTGTACACATATTAACGTTCATTCTCTGTCATGTTTTGGTCTCCCTTTTCACTTTATTTACTTTTGGGCATTTCAAGGGCTTTTAGCTGATTTGGCACAAGCTCTTTTGACAAAGTTCAAGCAGAGAAGCACATTTCCAGTTACTCATCAGAAAGTGAGGACACTTAGAGAAAGTCAGTTACTCACAGAACAAGGAAAAACACTTCCTTGTAATTAGGGCAAAGAGAATTGCAGCTTGTAACGCTGCTTCTCGATTTCATTTTTCTGCTCTCTGAGGGAGGTGGAAGAAGCTGGGGGCTAAGGTGAGGGGGCCGGGGGGTACCTGAAGAAGATCCTTTCTCATCTCTGGAAAACAAGAACTAGATCCTCACCTTACACCATAAAACTTGATGTGTGTGTGTGTGTGTGTTTTCAGATTTATTTATTTGAGAAAGAGAGAGAGAGAAGGGGAAGGGCAGAAGGAGAGTCTTAAGCAGACTTCGCACTGGGCATGGAGCCCAACATGAGGCTCAGTCACAAGACCCTGAGATCATGACCTGAGCTGAAACCAAGAGTTGGTTGCTCAACCAACTGCGCCACCCAGGTGCCCCCAAACTGATGGTTTTAAGAGATAAATAATAAGGGGTTAAAATAAAGCTGGATGTTTCTTATATCCTTTGTCCCATATATTTCATCCCTGGGAAAATAATTGGAGATGTAGACAAAGCCTTTGCCCAAAGATCTTCATTGCAATGCTATCTATACCACTGAAATATTGAAATACAAATATATATTTATGAATGGAAAAAAATACAAAATTTAAAAGTTGAAAAGACAGATGAAATAAAGTATTGTTTGACTCTTAGTTATTGAAATCATAGTCCTGAAGAGTTCATTATTCTATAATCATGGCATTCAGTGAAAAGCGCATCATACAAACAGGCTTACATGGAACTGTTTTCAATTATGTCAACAGAGTACTCAGAGGGCGCCTGGGTGGCTCAGTTGGTTAAGCGACTGCCTTCGGCTCAGGTCATGATCCTGGAGTCCTGGGATCGAGTCCCGCATCGGGCTCCCTGCTCGGCGGGGGGGTCTGCTTCTCCCTCTGCCCTCTTCCCTCTCGTGCTCTCTGTCTCTCATTCTCTCTCTCTCAAATAAATAAATAAAAATCTTAAAAAAAAAAAAAAAACAAGAGTACTCAGAAAGATCAAAGCGTGAAAAGGAGCAAAAGGATTAATAGGTGTTGTGTGGTTTCTGAATTGTGAGCCATTTATTTTTATTTCCTGTAGTTTTTACCTATCTTTGATGGTCATTATCACTTTGATAATACAACTTATGCACTTGTAAAAATAACAAGGGGCTCCTGGGTGGCTCAGTCACTGGGCATCTGCCTTCGGCTCAGGTCATGATCTCAGGGTCCTGGGATCAAGCCCCGCATCGGGCTCCCTGCTCAGCGGGAAGCCTGCTTCTCCCTCTCCCACTCCCCCTGCTTGTGTTCCCTCTCTCGCTGTGTCTCTCTCTGTCAAATAAATAAAATCTTTAAAAAAAAAGATTTCATTTTTTTTTTTAAAGATTTTATTTATTTATTTGAGAGAGAGAGAGCACATGAGAGGGGGGAGGGTCGGGAGGGTCAGAGGGAGAAGCAGACTCCCTGCTGAGCAGGGAGCCCGATGTGGGACTCAATCCAGGGACTCCAGGATCATGACCTGAGCCGAAGGCAGTCGTTTAAGCAACTGAGCCACCCAGGCGCCCAAAAGATTTCATTTTTAAGTAATCTCTACACCCACCATGGGGCTTGAACTCACAACCCCGAGATCAAGAGTGGCATGCTCCACCGACTGAGCCAGTCGGGGCCCGTTCACTAATTTTCATTTTAATTCTTCAGAGTAACCCCTTCTTACAGAAAGAGTGTTTGGGGGGCGGCCTTGATCTGCAAAACCAAAAACCCTCACTCACGTGAGGACACATTGAAGAAGCAATGTGAATTTGAGCAATTCTTATCAGAAATACGAAAACAAGACCTGATTGTGTACTAAACCTGCTCCTCCGCCTCTGACTCCCACAGTCCTTCACTCCCCAGCACACTTGCGGGCAGCCCAAACCCTTTCCCATCCCTGATGCTACTCTCCTTGTTCCAGGCATGGCTTCCTGCCTTCGTCAAGCAGCTGCCTCCTGACCAAGTTTCTCTGCTCCACTCTTGCTCTTTCCACCCAAATTCATGCCTTCTGAGCTATGGCCACAGTGAGCTTTCTAATACTCTGGTCTACCCTGCCATTCCCTGTTTACAGCCCTTCAGTGGCTCCCCATCACTCTCAGAAGCAAGTAAGTACAAACGGTTCACGATCTGGCTCAGGCCAACTGCTGTCCTCACCATGATCCCACCCTATCCGGCCACACAGAATTTCGCTGTTGGCATTACCCAGGCTCCTTCTGGGCCTTTGCATGAGTTGTCTTTTCTTCTGGGGAAAATGATCCTTTCTGCGCCACACTTCCTTGCCTAGCTAACTCCTCACCTCTCAGCTATTGAAGTAGATGTCCCTTCCTCCACGAAGGCTTCCCTGATGCCACCCTGAACTAAGTTCGGTCCTCCTCCTCTCAACTCCCACAGGCTTCTGTGCTTACTACCTCTGATATGTGCATTGTACCTTCTTATTTTACTCACCATTTCGCCTACGTGCCTTGTGAGCCCTCCAGCTTCGGGACTGGGACGAGCTCTCCACTGCACACCAGGCACCTCATCCTTGGTGGGGCTTCCAGGGCTGCTATTGATGAAGGAATGAATAACAAATACATCAAGCACTCTTGTAAGAATTGCTTAATATTTCTAATAGGCATAGAAGTAGACATTCAGGAAAAGATGTCCTAAAAGGACCCATAAATTCTCCAAAGGAGGTGAAATTGTCTTGTGATCAAAGAAATAATGTGGATTTGATAGGCCAGAATTCGGGGGTGAATTTGTAGTTAGGAACAGTGGGAGGGGGGCAGTGGGAGTGGTTCCCCCCCATCTGGGAGAAGTATTTTATTACTGACATAGTTTGGAATTACCATCGATGGTGATGAGAAGAAGAAGCAGGATGACTTTTACTCAGTTTTACTGTTTTTAAATTCTCTGCTGCAACTACACCCTCTCTGCTTGTCCCCAGGTAGTGCTGCTTCCATCCTGTCCCCGTTTAGTACGCCCCTGGTAAGAGACCCTGATTACGGGGCGCCTGGGTGGCTCAGTCTTTAAGCATCTGCCTTCGGCTCAGGTCATGATCCCGGGCTCCTGGGATCGAGCCCCGCATCGGGCTCCCTGCTCCGCGGGAGGCCTGCTTCTCCCTCTCCCACTCCCCCTGCTTGTGTTCCCTCTCTCGCTGTCTCTCTCTGTGTCAAATAAATAAAATCTTAAAAAAGAAAGAAAGAGGGACGCCTGGGTGGCTCTGTTGGTTAAGCGTCTGCCTTCGGCTCAGGACATGATCCCAGGGTCCTGGGATCGAGTCCCACATTGGGCTCCTTGCTCAACAGGGAGCCTGCTTCTCCCTCTGCCTGCTGCTTCCCCTGCTATGCTTTCTCTCTCTCTCTCTCTGACAAATAAATAAATTAAAAAAAAAAAAAAGAAGAAGAAGAAAGAAAGAAAGAAACCCTGATTACAGAGTGACCTGTTTTCCTCCCTTTAGCACAGAGCCCGGAGTGATTTCACAGGTGTCCAGCCTCTGAAAACTCTGCTGGGCAAGGTTGTCCTCGACCTGAGTTGGGACCCTTCTGTGACTCCTCTGGCACCCAGCTTCCTCAGGGGAACCCTGTGAGTCTGCGGCAAGGAGGCAGGGATGGGGGACTATGCATGGGGTCCAGCCCCGGATCGAGCCCTGTCTCTGCCACTAGCACCCCTGAGGCCTTGGGCTGGCTCCCAGGGCCCACCTCTCAGGTCCTTCCCATGGCTTCACTTTGCTCATAAAACTGAGGCGTTTAGTGACCTGGGCCCTGGGGTCCTTCATGGGACTTCCCAAGCTGAGAAAGGGTTGTCAGCCATGGGCATGACGGGATGTTGCTCCCTCAGGCTCCCTCTTTCTGTTCCTCTCTCTGACCTGAGTGAGACACTCTACCACAGGGGACTCGCTGGTTTGGGTGCGTCAGCCAGCAGGACGGCGGGCGAGTCTGGACAGGTGGACAGTAGAGCCTGGGCTCTGGGATGGGGTGTGTGCATGTGTCGTGGAGAGGGGGGAGATGAAGTGTATCCCAGGCAAAGGTCAAGGATGGGAGAAGTGGCTCCAGCAGGCCTTCAGGAACTGCAGAGACAGAAGCTGGGTTGGGCTAGGCCCTGGTTGTACCATGGGGCTCCGGGGTGGAGAATAGTCCTTTAGTGAGGTCACTTCTAGGGTGGGAGCCAAAGGCCCTTTCTGGGAAGGAAAGGTGATGTCATGAAAGCAGAAGGGATTCAGGTTAGACTGTAGGAGGGGCAGGTGATGGTGGATCAAGGAGCATGAGGTGCCTCTTTAAGCTGCTTCCCAGAAGGGAGGGGAAGAGCTGTAGTACCTAGCCCCTCCATGGGAGAGAAGACTGTCTTGTTAGTAGGCAGGGGAGGGGGACAGGATGAGCAGGGTAACAAGGTAGCCTGTAGCCCTTAGGCAGGGTTTGGGGAATTCATAGCTGAAAAGGAAGCCCTGAGACATCTAGGGCTTGGGTCAGACACCTGTCAGCCCTGGATCTCAGTTGTTCTTCAGTGAAACGGGAAGAGTTTTCTTGGTCCTTGCCTACCAGAGACATAGTGTCCCCTTACGTGGTCACCGAAGACCAGGGAGTCTCTGTTACAAGTTACTTCTGAGGTCCTGGGAGCTAAGAGAAAACTCAGCTGAAATTTGGGCTGAGTGGGGGAGAGATGGGGGAGCCTGAACGTAGTGCTTTTGGGGGCAGAGTAGTGCTTTTGCATGCAAGCAGCCTGATCAGGCATCCTCACCTGAAAGCTCCCACGACAACTAGGGAACATTCTCACCCTGCGTTCCCAGACATTCTGAGCCCCTGGATGAAGCCCCTCTCATCAGACCCCCACTTCCCTAATCCTGTCTCTTTCCCCCAGTGTCTCTCTGCAAGGATTCTCAACCCCTCCTTGTTTCATCCCATGAATATTCACTGAGTGCCTTCTATCTGCCAGGCATTTTCTAAGCCCTAGGGATTCACAGGTGAACAAGAGTGTTGGTTCTTGTGCTCATTCCCTCCCTCCCCAACCCAGAGGGAAAACAAGCCAGAAAGTAAGTGAGGTAGCTTAGCCTTCACTGGCTATGAAAGAGAGAGGTGCACACGGCCGTGGGAACCCAGAGGAGGCCCTACATTCAGCCCAGGAAGGGTCAGGGCAGAGGTAAGGGACCAAGTCTAGAAGGGCCAGTTGGCCTTTGCTGGGGAGGCTGTGGGGGACGGTAGAGGCAGAGGTTCTGGAGCCATCCCAATAGGCTCACAAGAGCCAATTGGTACGTTTTCAGGAATTTTTACAAACTGCTTACTAAACACAGCCATTATTAAAAATTAAATTATAGAAATTATTTATTTTAAGATTTTATTATTTTTTAAAGATATTTATTTGAGAGAGAGAGAGTGCATGAGCAGGGAGTGGGCAGAGGGAGAGGGAGAGGGAGGATCTCAAGGAGACTCCCTGCTGAGCATGGAGCCCAACATGGAGGGGGGAGCTCGATACCAGGACCCTGAGATCATAACCTGGGCTGAAATCAAGAGTCAGATGCTTAACCAACTGAGCCACCCAGATGCCCCTTAAGATTTTATTTTTAAGTAATCTCTACACCCAATATGGGGCTGGAACTCACAAGACAGAGATCAAGAGTTGCATGCTCTTATGACTGAGCCAGCCAGGAGCCCCTAATTATGTAATTACTTAAAACAAAGGTAATAAACACATCACTTTCTAATTGTTATTGCATTTTACTATTGTGTATGCTCTTGAAGGCATTTACATCAATTGTACCTTTTTAAAACTGTATTTACTTGTTTATTTAAAGGATTTTATTTATTTATTTGAGAGAGAGACAGAGAGAGCTCTAGCCGGGTAAGGGGCCGAGGGAGAGGGACAAGCAGACTCCAAGATGAGCACAGAGCCCTTATGCGGGACTCGATCCCAGGACTCTGAGGTCATGACCTGAGCCGAAGTCAGACACAACCAACTGAGCCACCCAGGCGCCCCTGTACCTATTTATTTTTAAGTAATCTTTACACTCAACGTGGGGCTCGAATTCATGATGCTGAGATCAAGGGTCGAATGTTCCACTGACTGGGGCAGTCAGACGCCTCTATTTACATGAATCGCATCTTTAAGATGGAGAAACTCTACAATGGTGTGCTACTCCGCACACCTTCCCAGCTCCTTGTTCAGTGATGTCATGTAGGTAGATGAGGTAGCTGAGGCACAGAGAGACTAAATAACTGGCAAGCAGCAGAGCTGGGATTTGAACCCAGGAGTCTTCAGAGACTATACCTCAACCATTAGAGGTCACATTTTCAGACTAGGAAGATAGTGAGACCTAGAGTAATGTTTTTTATCTTAATGCACACACAAAGTTGACCATATATTTACAGACATGCCTGGAATATAGTAGGAGCTTGAGGACAGTCTTCAGACCCAGCAGGACTTGAGTCATTGGTAACAGATTATGAGGAGCCAGGGTAGGTGGGCTTTTCCGGCTTCCTCCATTTGCTGGGTGATGCACTCACCTGGGATGCCCTGGCCTCCCGGTTCTCTGTTTGTGGATTGTGCCTCCATCCTCAGGGAGCTCACATGCTCAGGGACAGACCCCTGAGCAGGAATACATAGGTGGGGGGCGCCTGGGTGGCTCAGTCGGTTAAGCGTCTGCCTTCGACTCAGGTCATGATCTCAGGGTCCTGGAATCGAGTCCCGCCTCGGGCTCCCAGCTCAGCAAGGAGTCTGCTTCTCCCTCTCCCTCTGTCCCTCCCTCTGCTTGTGCTCTATCTCTCTCTCTCAAATAAATAAAATGTTAAAAAAAAAAAAAAAGGAATACACAAGTGGGAGAGGGCAATGAGACTGCCCAGGCCCAGAGTGAGGCTCTTGGCTCAAGTTTTTGCAAAGCTAAGAGGAGCAAGAGGTGTGAATTATCACCGACAGGGAGGGTTTCCATGGAGGGGCATAGATAGAAGGCTTGGGTTTGGACAGGGAGAGGAGAGACGGTAGGTACTGCTACCATCTTGGTTTTTCCCACAGGGCATCTGTATGACAGAAGTTCGGTGGTAGCCTTTGAGGTACAGTGACAGACAGCTCAGCTGCAGATACATATATAAAAAATTATTTATATATATTATATGGATACATAAAATTGAAATTTGAAAGGAATAGAGGTGCCTTTCTGTGGAAGTGGAGGATTGGGGATTGCTGGAGGCTGGTGGCAGGGCGGACCCCACACAGGGTGTTGGTTCCCTGAGGCCACATCTGTCAGCTTGGGGCTTCCCATCCTGCTGGCTCAGCAGGTCCCACAGGTTGGCAGGTGACTCATCCCTCACCCTCACATGACCCAGGTCCAGGAAGGGGCAGGGGGTGTATAGAATGGAGCACCTGCGTGCTCATGTATGTAGGGAATATGCTGTGTTACATGCTTGAGTCGGAGATGTGTGCCCATGTCTGATTACGTACACAGGCTGGTAAGTCCCTGGGCACACAGCCACGGGAGCTGGGCAAAGATGTGGGCCACAGGTGTGGAAGGTGGGCGCAGTATGAGGCAGGGGTGATGTGAGCACCCAGCTCACCCCAGAACACATGTGCATGAGCGCA